TCTGGAAAGCCAAAAAGTGGCTGTTTCATCTTCATTGGGAGTCGTCAGAGGTAGCGCTCATCTCACGAATCTTTGTATGTAGTCTCGAACCCGCAAGATCCTTGTTAGAAGTTGGAAAGCTTAACCATTCGGGCCACAAACGGTTGATCAGCAATGTGATGACTTCGCACTTAGACGAGAAACGGCACCACTTATTGTTCAATTGCGATATCCATATCGCACGGTTAATTATGATACTGGGAGGGGATTAGGGATTTTTTATGCAAGTTTCGTCCCGCAAATGAAACGTCCCTTAAAAATATTGGACGGAATTAAAATGCAGTACTGGTTTGACTGCTACACATAAATCGTGAACATAGTGATCTTCAGCACATTTATTCAGCACGAGAAAGTTGGTTACACACAGTATTGTACGACTGTATATTTAACTGAAAACATTTTTTCGTGGAAATCTTCTAAGACTCTGAATGAACAAAACACTCTATCCGTTGGTTCATACGGCCAACTAAAGAGTTTAAACCGAACATTTTCCGTGCACGAATGAAGTACCGATATCAGAAACTGCGCGGAATGCAAAGGTCAAAATTGATCAGTATGCACTGAACAGTCCGCATAAACAATCAGCTGTTTCGTGAAACGTTATGCTGGCAAAATGAGACTTCATCAATCTAACATGTTTCAACTCATTAGCCTCTTCTAAAAGGTTTTAGATCCTGCCACATTTCCGGACGACTGTGGTACGGTATCGACCAGCACTGGACTAGTTAATGTTGAACGGATTGGTACTTCAGTTTTGAGTGATTTAGAGAATATATACTGTTTGGGTGAAGAACTACGGGCCGAACTTAAACGACCGTCAGCTTTTCATCAGTCCACTCGTGTTTAAGAAGCAAGCTCAGTTGTTGAGATTCACGGTTTCGTACATGTGTGATGGACCGTTCTTCGGCAACTGCATTGAAGTCCCGGTCATCCTTCAGCGTTGAAGACATTTGCCTACCCAAGTCTTACTGTCCATAGAAGCGACAAATTTTTGCACTCTTTAGCTGCAAAAGGAGTTGTGTTACACACTACATTAATATGAAAGTGAACAATAGACCTCTGCAACTGCTATTTACTTTTTTATCTGACAAAGATCCTTCAACATATTTCCGGCACAGGACTGCCCATCTCGGCTTGCATCATACTAAAAACCAGCCAATAAAATTTCAGAATTTCAAAATTTGTTATTGCGAAATGCATTTGTTTTCATCTCAGATCTAAGAAGCCAACAACACCAAATATAGAATGAATGTCATTAGTTTTACCGGACGAAAGAAATTTAATCGGCCTTTATGAAGTAGTACAGCATACTGCCCTTCGATAAGAATTCATTTTCGCCAGCTGCGTTCATTTTTCAACCAACCAGACCATGAGTTGACGGTCCATACGACTACATTTAACTACCTTGAATTTTAAAGTTATGTGGATAAGATTGGTTGAGGTATCTTGGAATAAGACTCCTCCGCAGGGCACCTCACCTAAAATCCAGTAATATGCTACGTACATGTTTTGGATAAGAGACTGTTGTTCATGTTAAATAACTCCTATTTCCCAGCGCTCACACTTTTTGGGTTTCTCCGATTTTGGAGTGGCCAAAGAGTAAAATCCTACATGAGTAGCAGATTCTCTTTAATTTGCGTATCCTTCGAATTTTTACACTTGGCAATGTTTTCTGGTTACTTTGGCATCTTAATTCTAAAATTCTGGAATAAAGATTTTTCTAACACGGGTAACAGCCTGTTTGAACTTATGCGTCCGTTGGTTCATCGTGATAGTCTGCATCTGGTATTTAAATCCATTCAATTTTTTGGCTACTGAAATGCATTGGTAGTAGCGTAATACGGTCACATTTTGGAGGTACTGCCATGGCGCAGTAGTGATTCTGGCGCCCTAGCGTGAATTCTCGCTGTTACGACGTTCCACAGATCCTTTTTGCACTATCCTTTCTCTTCGTTCTTCTTTGAGTCTCAGAAAGCAGTTGGTCCACTTGGAAATCGTGCTTCACAAGATCTTCAATGAACCAAGAGTTGACATAAATAAAGATATCTACCAGGCCATTGATGGAACTAGGTGATAATCGATACAAATGATTTGCAGAACTCGCTGCTTGAGTCCTACCGTTTTCGGTTTACTGACCTGGTGCTACGAGCACACTGTTTATCCATTTGGCATATCAGCATGCATATCCCAACTGCCTGTCGTTACTAGTGCTTTAAGGCCGAAAGTTGGAGAGAGAACTTTCAGTCGGGATTAGACTTACGGACAAACCCATCGGGACCTTGACTAATGCGCACGCCTATATACCAATTTGGTTTTGACGGGAGACTCACCTAGAACCCAAATGAGTCTTTCGTTTACGATGTTCTTCTTCATCTGAATGTTCTACGCCAGACCGCCTGAAGTTTTGGTTGGTACGATATTTGAGATATCGCACTACACTGCATAGACGTAATACAGAGTTAATGAAAACTCGTCGACAGCTCATGACTGGTTTCATCCTTCTTGGATCACATCATGTGGGCGGGGTTCCCGAGTTTCCGTTCACCTTAAGTTCTACTCGTTCTACCAAAATTGAACGAAATTCGACTACCGTGCGCACCTGCATACCAATTTGGTTTCGACGGGGGACTCATCTGGAACCCAGCTGAATCAGTCGTTTAAGGTTGACGGAAACTAGCAGACTCGCGTACTTGATGAGCTCCAAGGAGTGCGAAATCGGCCTCGGGTTATCTGAAAGTTTTCAGTAACCTTTTGCGTAGTGCATCGCGCCAACGGAGGCTACTTTTGAGCAACTTGAACGGGTTTCTCCTAGAGGTTGAATGGCCGGTAGTAGCACTACAAGAAAGTAAGGTTTTACTGATGGACTTTCCCGGAAAATATCTGTGTTCTTAGATTGTGTCAGACGAAACAAGGTTCCTTCAGTGTTATAGATCATTCCATCCATCAATCACTAGCAAGCATAATGTGCACGGTCGATTACGGGATCGATCACGTCAGTGTTAAAGCTAGTGAAGAGGTATGCAAATCATACCCTCAACTCCTATCATAGATAAAGACACAATTGGGCCCATTGTGCGGTGATCTTTCCTGTGAGTTAATCCTCGAAGAGGGAATGCTCCAAAGAAACGAAAACAATGACTCGATATGATTTTTGAAGTTGGTTTCCCATAACAGTGGTTTACCGTAGATCGAACAGTTTACGTGCCTAGATGATGAAATTATTTCCTAAGATAAGTGATTTCCCTAGGAAAATTGTGAAGAGCAAACATACATTCGACAAATAATGTTTTAAAAACGACTAAGTTCGTTTACGGCCAGTAAGTTATCCGTCAGTATGTACAACCTGGGGCTGCGTCCGTGCACATAATAAATGATAAAAAATCTATCAACTGGTCTCTTATATTCCGTCAGGTCAAATACCACTTTTTCCACCATCGATTCCTCCAAAAATCCCCCTTTCTAAAAAAGAGGACACCATGAAGAAATAGGCCCGTAGCCCCGTCTCCTCTTTCTCTCCTCCTCTCTCCTGAGTATACCCCACCCGGGACGGTTATCATACATGGATGCACTTTCCCGATGCTTGTGGAATGAGACGACTTTCGGAAAAAAACCAAAGCTTCAAATAACCAATGAACACGGTGCATTTATGCTGGCTCACATACCGTCACTTTAGGAGCTTTCAATATTACTCGAATTTCAAAGTTTAATGCCCCTACCATCCTCATTTCTGTCCGGTCTGCATGATAACTGATCACTTCCACTTATCCGTATTTTCAAGAAACTATTTTATAAGATATGTGGAATTTCCTGGACTGGTAAAGAACTACCCGCGTAGTCAAACTGGCTTGAAATCCCGCCCTCGTGAACTTGATCGCCACGCCCGCCGATATGCGGAACGACCCAGCTGACCTTTTATCACTGAGGTTTGGTTCGTCGCCTAGAGTGTGAAACTTCAGATCGTCGCCTGTGTGTGCCTAAGTCCACTGATTGCGACAACTCCTCCGTTCATCCTGATCGTGGCACGTGGTTCATTCTACGGTCAGTCTGCAGGGCTTGGACATCCCCCCAATTGGATTCCATCAACAAACCATATCGCTACTGCTCAGATTAGAACTGGTGAGCCAGAACTATAATTATAGTCGCTGGTATTATGATAGCCGGCGTGTCCTTGTATGTCTTGAATACTGATGTGCACACCGCCTCCACTGACATAAGTTGGTGGACGAGAACGTGCAACTCGCCTGCAAACCGGAAAGATGTAATAATTTTGCCGAGGAAAGAAGCAGAACAAAATCAAGGCTTTGCGAACTTCTGGCCAGAATGAAACTTGCAAAGAATATGGTTAGCACCTAGTTATATCCGGGAGTATTGAATAACAAGTTTTACGCTGATCATTGTCATTCAAGTGCAAGACTCTTCATTAGAACCACTAGGAGACATGACTGACGAGGTGTTCACATTTACCTTATTTTCATCAGCCGTCTACATTAAAAAATAAATGTATAAGTTCACTACATGGCGACTTCAGTTTGAAGATAACACGTGAAAGAATTTCGATGGAAGGGGGACAATCGGAGGTTAGTGCAGAGCTAGACATACATTCTGACTGAATAGTATCGCGACCATGAAGCCAACTATCTCAGTTGAATGTCCCGTCAACGGGTTTTAAATCCAAGATACCTCCTAAGATAACTCTCGTAGGATTCGACAAATTGCGGACGTAATTTTATTTTGAATGTTTAAATGATCAACCTAAAGAACTCACACCAACGGACTTGGATAAAGCAGGAAGTTTCCGGACAAAACTTGTGGATATTGCAGACGAGTCTCGTTCTGCTTTATCACCTCCTAAGTGCTCTTTGACGTACGAGCACCATCTAACAATCAAACAGATATGACTAACCAGACAATGGATCCGGTATTTTGCTGTTGATCTCAACTGGGTATTTATCAAATTCCAGTCTATTCCCTCGGACGGACAAAGGTTCGAACTAACCGTCGCAGGAGAGCGCAACGCTGTCGTCGAAAACCAAGTGGTCAGTGGTCGTGTACAATTCTTTGATTCACAAACTGGCCCAACGGTTAGTCGATCTTTGAATTTCATCTAGCTGAGATTAGCACCCGATTGTTTGAAGGATCCTCTTGAATTTGTTGGATCATTAATGAAGTGTTGGTTAGTTTATGAAAATGCTTTCCAACCCCATCGAGTCAGTTTGTACTAACCTACTGCTGTGTCAAACCGTTTGGTTTTTTATAACTGTAACTATATAGCTGGTCGAAACATCTCAGCCATCGTTCCACCCACGCTTCTGGAGGATATTATCTTTTTGTATACAGGGGCCGTTTGTTCTTACTCTGTTAGCGTGGAGGTTAGTGCAGAGCTAGACATACATTCTGACTGAATAGTATCGCGACCATGAAGCCAACTATCTCAGTTGAATGTCCCGTCAACGGGTTTTAAATCCAAGATACCTCCTAAGATAACTCTCGTAGGATTCGACAAATTGCGGACGTAATTTTATTTTGAATGTTTAAATGATCAACCTAAAGAACTCACACCAACGGACTTGGATAAAGCAGGAAGTTTCCGGACAAAACTTGTGGATATTGCAGACGAGTCTCGTTCTGCTTTATCACCTCCTAAGTGCTCTTTGACGTACGAGCACCATCTAACAATCAAACAGATATGACTAACCAGACAATGGATCCGGTATTTTGCTGTTGATCTCAACTTAGTAGTTATCAAATTCCAGTCTATTCCCTCGGACGGACAAAGGTTCGAACTAACCGTCGCAGGAGAGCGCAACGCTGTCGTCGAAAACCAAGTGGTCAGTGGTCGTGTACAATTCTTTGATTCACAAACTGGCCCAACGGTTAGTCGATCTTTGAATTTCATCTAGCTGAGATTAGCACCCGATTGTTTGAAGGATCCTCTTGAATTTGTTGGATCATTAATGAAGTGTTGGTTAGTTTATGAAAATGCTTTCCAACCCCATCGAGTCAGTTTGTACTAACCTACTGCTGTGTCAAACCGTTTGGTTTTTTATAACTGTAACTATATAGCTGGTCGAAACATCTCAGCCATCGTTCCACCCACGCTTCTGGGAGGATATTACTTTTTGTATACAGGGGCCGTTTGTTCTTACTCTGTTAGCGTACCCTATCGTCAAAATGACGGCATCGCATTGGAAAGTCCTGTAGGTTCTACACTTACTGACATATTTTTAGATTTGATAGAGGGGCAATTATGCGATACCACTGCGAGTGCCAAACTTTACAGACATTGCATCCATGATATACTAATTTTCAGCGACGGGAAATATTCGATTTCTTTTAATCTTGCTATTAGTATTCACCCTTGTTTATCACTGTCTCCTAGCTAGAGAAAATCGAATGATATCTTGGATCCCTTGGATAATCTGTACTGAAGACGTCCGAATGACACAACAGTCCGCGCTGTCCACCATAAAGCAATCGTTTTAAACATTTCCCATTTCAAATTTTTGCACCAGTGGCTTACAACTATGAACTTGGTCAAGACGCTTTCCCTAGAGGTGAGACAGCTTTGCGCCTCCAATGAACCGAAGAAAGATGCACAGTTTCCGATACGGACTCTACTGGAAAGTGGATATTCGAAGACAGCACGCACAAAGCTAGATACTACCTGCTCGTTACTGTCAAAAGAAAAGAGGTCATGTTGCAAAAACCATTTAAAGACAGTCATATATTCGCAAACTAACAGTCTCTGTTGTTCTCAGTAGCTCGGCCGCCCGAGTAAGTCTAAGCCAGTCTATCATGGACATGCGATTCCAAATTAGCCAACTCCAAAGAAGCTTGTGTGGTCCTTACCATCTGTCGTGGTGACAAAGGATCGCGGAACACATATCAAGATGTCTTTTATTCAAGACGAGACAACAGTCAGCTGGTGGCCGCTCTACCACCCGAAACCCAAAGTCATCAACTAAGACATACTTGTTCGTCTCAGCTCATTCAGTTAGCCCCAGACGGACGCTGGATATTCTAATGTGCAATCAAACACCTTGGGCAGTAGCATTTGGTGAGGCAGTGTTGATTAAACTAAGAAAGCCAGCTCAAATCCATTGACTCAGAACATGCGTCTACATTGGCGCTAACTTCGGGTTATCCCTTGTTCCATCTGAATATCCTCACATGTTTTTCGAACTGGTATTTCCCGTGTACTCAACCCATAATTGTATGTTTTGCGTAATAGCTGACGAATATAATAGTGTTAACATCTCGTCAATCATGCCTTATCCTGGCTTCCATGAAATGGACTCAGGGGACTCCAGCTGTAAGACGTTCGATCGAATCCGATGTGCTATCAATAAGTTGGTTACTAGAAAAGGGAAAACTAACAGGCCTGTTTAAATGGAATTGGTTTTTTAACCTCGGATTTAATAATACACGTCCGGTAGTCAGTCTCTGGCAGGTCAGCGGCAATGAGAGCGGTCCCCGAGTCCAAGGTGATTTGTCGCAGTTTTTGGTTTTCAGACCAGCAGTTGCTCATATTCTTTACTCTCCCTAATTCAAGTTTTTGAAACCACCTTGTTTATATTGATTCCGATCGGGTGTTCTAGTCTTAATTGTAGCCCTTCATTGTATATTGAGATGACTGATGTGCATCCCCAGAGGGCCAAACTCGGTCCAAAAAAATAATCTGATACCATTACACTTTCAAGAATAGGGGTCCTAACGAATGAATACTACTGATAAGCTTGTTATACACTCTCAGGTAGCCCCGAAAGAGCGAATCTAGTCGCGGGCTGTAGAATAATTTTCAGCAAATTTATGAGTAGTGTTGAGGTAATGTTTGAGGTAGAAATACGAAACCACCTTAAGACTAACGGCAGTATGTAGAACTTTGGTTGACAGTTTATGCTAGGTTCCAGCGCTCAGGCATGGTCACACGGACATCTATCACAGAAGAGCCAACTGGTGATCCCATGGCTATACCCTCATTGTGCTGATAAAACCCACAACTGAACACGTATTTCATGTCCGTAGTGCATTGAACGGAAAGATCTTTTACGATAATAACCGGAACTAACAAAGCATAACTTCTGGTGCTCAGACAATCAGAGGGAATTTACTTATCCTTAATTGGGAATATTGAATAAAAGAGAAGATCCAACAATGAAGAACCAATTGCATTCCGGAAAGCTTGAATCCTTGCTGAACTCAGTAAACTCTATCCAGTGTACAAGATCCAGACGTTCAGCTATCCACTGAGAAGTTTAGTGATAAGGCGATCCATAATCCACCAGATCGGATGCGTTGGATGGCCAGGTTTATAAAAGCCTGACAAACCGTTATCACTACACTAAAATTTAGTTGGTCTTAAAACTACAAATACTGTAGTGAAGTGGGATGGAGGAAAGTGCATCCAAGTTGGGTGCAATAAATGGAAGAGCCAGAGAGTGAGTCGAAATTTTGCGAAGGAGCAAAACAGGAGCAAACTAAAAAAGCACTAGAAAAGGAACTGAGAATAAATGGTGTGCGAAGGATGCGAGGGTGGGAGTTCTGTGTACAGAAGATTTGATTTCTCCAGCTAAAGAAAAAGGATAACACCATAAAAATGCCGACAAATTCCTGGAAGCCAGAACACAAATTTTCGACAGTGCTCCATCCGCAAGAATATGTGCGGTTGATCCTTGTCTTAAAAGGCAGTGAATATCAACTTGGCTGGCTCTTCTAAAATATCAGAAATAAAGAAGGCCATAAACTAGGCATGAAAGGAATTCCCTCCCTAAAGTGTACTATCTGGGAGACGAAATAAATACCACAGGTTTTCAAGCTTCCAAGATTTCTTCGCATAAAATAAGACGACAGATAAGCTTCATGGGATCAGCCTCCTGTGCATCGCGATAATGTTAGGGGTCGTGTCTTGTTCAGTCGACCAGTTGTGAGCACTCTAAAGTAGCAAGTTCCTAAAGATCAGCACAGATTTTGAAGCAGTAGAATAATTTTTGACTCAAATTTCGCCAAAAAGGAAATGCCGTGAAGGAGTTCACTCAGTTGTCTTCGGGTGCGAGATTCACAAAAACTTCGATTCGATCAACAGCGAAGCGCTGAGGATTGACTTGTGGGAGTTTGGCTACCCAGGTGAATTCGTCGAGCACATCAAACACATGAGGTGAAAAATCGAACCCGAGGGCGTACCAGCGCAACTGTTTTGATTGAGTTTCAAGTTGATACGGGAGCGAAGTAATGCTGTATACTCTCTCCAAATTTTTTCAACCTCTATGCAACAACTATTTGTTCGCTGACTAATAGATAGGTGATTTTTGGGCAGTACGGCTTCCTGCTTCCCAAAACATAGCGTTCCTGCCTAAGTAGCCTTTTGTCATGTTCTTCTGTCCAATACCAATTTCTCCTCTCACCTAGAAGCATGTCCGTCTCTGTTGTGTAGGCCACTCTTCAACAGTTCAAATTGCAGATGTGAAATGTGATCCAATGCTGTGCTGTTTCAATGATCTAGCTGTGGTAGCTGGTTGTATTNTGCTGTTTCAATGATCTAACTGTGGTAGCTGGTTGTATTTGGTGTATATTTTGGCCTTCAGAATAACTCGAATGCTCCGGTTATGGCCCTCCGAATCTTCCGAAAACATTGCAGATGGAATCGACTAAAAATTCGGAAATGGCCCGTACACACACACTAACTCTCACTGCCGTGTAACACTTTATGCTAAGCAACAACACTATACGGTGAATTCATTTCCGCTGGCAGATAATGTCTGTTCTCTACAGGGCTATTAAGTCTTCTAAACCTGGCCCTCACCTTCGACATTCAATAGCCCGTCTCACTCTTGATCGCTTCATCGCTGGTTTGGGGTACTATGCGGCAGCAGAAATCTGAGTTACAGGTTATCTGGCTACTATTCGCCTAAATGACTGATAAATTTTTATCCTGTCTACGGAGGAACAGGGTGGCAGAAAACATGTTTAAAAACTATTCATACTTTTATGCCAATTCGGGATGATGCAGATGAGAAAGCAGTCTCAATTCGGTACGTACCGATAAAGCACGGTCGGTAGCGAAACAAACATATGGGCCTTCGTGTAAAGTAAAATTCGTTTGGTTATTGGGCGCTCTAACCATCAAGGTGGTTAAAACTAGCCTATCCATTTTTAAATTTCAAAACACCTCCACATATGCTATTCTCAGATGCTAGCTGAATAGAGTTGGCAGAAAAACGCGCATTGTTTCATTCTGCGTCAGTGGTGAATTCTGTGAAGATGCAACTCCACAATCTTGGACAACAGTTCCGATCTCAGAACACCTTGGCAAAGCTGGCAAATTTATTTGGATAGCCCATCTTTCGATGAACTGCCAAGAATGATTCTTTGTTTAACGAAACAAACGTGGTTGTGTTATAAACCAATAATGAACCCAGTTGTTGGCCACATTCCCAGCATTTCTCGTGTGTTTATCAAGTAAAAAACTAGACAAATGTTACTACGCCCGCTCCGGGAACCCAAATGAACAATATCACATAGGTTCAATCGATTCATCAGAATGCGAGCCAATATTTTATAACAAATTCAAACGGTCCTGCTCTCCGTCTTTCATACACAAAAAACGGTATCGGTGTAGTCGTCTGGGGTTTTCTTAACTTCTCATAATAAATGGATCCGTTGAATACATGCATATGTGGCAAACTTTGAGACTTGTAGGTTCAAATGGTCCATTCGGAAACGTATCTCGACGAACTTATCCATAAGGAGCAGCCGGGGGAAGTCCGACTGCCGACACAACAGCTCTGTTACGAATCTTTGACAAGTAGGCTCATCTAATTCATAACAATGAAGTTGTACCAACTTTCTACCTATTACAACTAGAGTGGTTCGCCCT